ACATCTAGTCGACCCGTGACACCCATTACAGTAATGGTTTACTGCTTCTTATTGCTTTGTTTATTGATGCTCTTTATATTACCCCGCTTTTCCCTCAAAGGAACCATTGTCCAGGTGACATCATTAGTTTCCTATACGGTAACAAGCGATTGTTTTTCGCACTGGAAACCTCTCTGACTGGATTTTTTTTTTTTGCTGGTCGCTTGGATTTTGATTTAAAGAGGTCTGTCTTTGAATCAAGTTAGGGTTGGAACAAATTAATTGGTTGCCCATTTAACTTTGAATGAGTTTGAAATCCACAGAGCAAAGTTGTCTCTGGTACTTGACAAAATAGATACCATTAGGGAAGCGTTTTGTTGTTCCATAACCCATTACAGTACTGGGTTATTGATCCTTGTTGCTTTCTTTATTGATTAATATGCTTTTTCCTTAAAGGAACCATTGTCCAGGTGACATCATTAGTTTCCTATACAGTAACAAGGGATTGTTTCCCAGACTGGAATGAATGAATGAATGAATGAATGAACAGAACTCTTTATTTGCCGCTTTTCAGCATTCACAAGGTTCAATCAAGATTTCAATCAGGAAAACAAAATTAATCTGCAACCAAGAAACACATTTGTCGGGTTTATTCATCCAAGTCTTCAAAAAATTGACATCCGTGAGTGCAGTGAAGAAATTCTACATCAACAAGCATCATCATGCCTCGCGGAAAATCCACGACATTTAATCACTTCAGAGCAGGAAACAGAGCACAAACTGACAACAAAAGTAAAAGAAAATACAATCCATGAAATGCAACTGGACATTTGACATGTATGCGCACACCCATTCATTCCCTGACAATGAAAACAAAATATATGTAAAAAATTAATTTACAGCGCAAGGTCTTCAGCTTATTTCTGTAGGAGGTTTAGTTGAATGAACAAATTACAGAGAATCTTTGATGAGAAATCATACAAGGCCAACAGTTTATCGTGATCCTTTAAGATTTCAGAAAGGGTCTCTTCATTGAATTCCAATACTTTTAAGTCTTTCTTAAGTCGGATTTTTTCTGGGGATAATGAAATGCTGGGAAAGTCCTGAGTTGGACTTTTTCCAAATTGACCTCCAACCTGGGCTCCTGGCTTTCAAGCTTAAATTTAACCTTTGAATGGGGAAACAACACAAGGCCAGGGGAAAAAAGGGAGCCTTGAAGTTTTCATTTTTTTCATTTTCAGGTGAAATGTTTCTGTGAAAAATTCTAAAAAATGTTAGGATTTTTCCAGACTTTGCCCTGCACACACTGTTGGGGTTTTTTTTAATTCCACTCTCCAGTGCCACCAAAATCTGCAAAAAAAAGTCCAACTTAGCCACAGAAGGGTTAAGCTTTTTTCTATACTGGAATATACTTATTATACTCTAGACTGGAATATACATTTATTTTTATTTTTTGCTGGTCGCTTGGAGTTTGATTCAAAGAGGTTCGCCGTATTGTTTGTTATTGTACAGCACGTGCAGTGTTTATTTTTCAATTATCTTTTTTTCTCTCTCTCTCTCTCGTCGGAATCCAAGGTGGTGCAGATGATTTACTGCCTGCGCCCGCAGTACACGTTCCCGGCGCGCAAAAGCCCGCCTCCGCTGCTGGGCATGGCCGGCATTGCCATCGGTCTCCCGCCGCCTTCCGTGCACGAGGTCCGCCTGGAAAACGAGTCCTTCGTCGCCAGACTCGGCTTCGACTTTAGGATCGCCCACTGCGAGGCCAAGTGAGTTCCGTCGTCGTCTGTAATTCGTCTTCTCTTCTTTTTTTGTTTTCTGTCCAAGCCTTTGTGTGGCGGAATAATTAGAGGACTTACTATACACTGCCATGCAGGTCAAATCATCCAGGACAATTTATAATATTCATATTAAGATGGCAGTCCATGTCAATTCAAGAATTTTTCTTCAAGAACTGATTTCAAGTCCGAAGCATTTCCGTGTTTTTTCCCGAAAGTTATACGAAACCAAACGTCTGAGCAGCCCTATTTTTTTTTTACTGAGAAGGCGACATACTTTTGAAAACATGTTTGTCAAAAACCACATTTGTCAACTGAAAGTCTCCCAAGTGTCCGATGGTGAAATCTACGGTAGACGTCTTCCAAGATAAACTTCGTATATAGCCGAAAACGATTTTAGGTACAGTATTACAATTACATTTTCCGGAAAAATAAGCACATTCTAGCATGCGAAATATTTCAATTTTCACTTTCGAAATAGCGTGAAAAACTGTTTCCAATTCAAAGACATTTCGGAAGATTATGTGAAATTTTGGAGAAAAAAAATTGCAAAACAATCCAGTATTTTCCCCATGTAATCGTTCTGTTCAGAATTCGTGGATTTTCTTGACCTTTCTGTTTTTAGAATGAAAGCTACCCCAAAAATAAAAAAAATAAAAATTCAGAAAATTGTGGTCCTCACTCTTTGTGGCGAAAAAGTTAAAGTGCTGGTTTTCGCGCGTCAGCTGTTACCAAATCTCACTTATTCCTTGGTAGTAAAAAAAAAAAATTTATAAAAATATTTCAACGCAGTATTTTTATTCGTCGTCTCCTTGAAAATGCCCGTCTTAATGGAACTTTAGAGCAAGTGAATGTTCCGGGAATCCGAGATGTGATTCGTCATCACAGCTGGGCTTGAAAGCATTCCGTTTTCTGATTACAGGGTGGCCGAGTTGCTGGATTACGCACCAGACGAGCTGACTGGGAAATGCTTGTACACCTTGTGCCACGCGGAAGATGTGAACGTACTTCGGAAATGTCACCTAGATTGTGAGTCCATCTTTTTGTATGTCCTTTTTATTTTATATACATTTTCCAGCACCAAAAAGGAGATGTGATGCAGTGTAAAATTCAGCCGGCCATGTTGGGAAATTGAAATGGGAATGTCGAAGTGTTCAGACAGATTAGACTGGCGCCATTGAAACGTTAAAACTTGAATATGTCTGGAATCTTGTGAGACTGAGTTTGACCTTGAGTTTCCACAAGAATCTGAATTCTTGGGGAAATCCTGTTGAAAGGATAATTCTGCTCAGGGACAAATTTTGTAAAACAAGAAGGATTTAAATGCTAGATAGATCATCTGTTGTTCTGGGTTTGTCTCACACAAAAGACTGCTGTTTGATTATCTACGATTTACTGTTTGCCAAAATCTCAAAATTCACTGAATATACCAACCTTACACTAGGGTGTAAAGCACCCCAGCCACAGCCCGGCTTATTGTCGTTTGCATTTATTCCAAATTTAGTTTCCTACTCAGAAGATTTTGAACCTTCTTCAACTTTATTCTTAACAGGCCAGTCAGTGATTTTTTTGTCGCGAATATTCACAGCAATGTGTTAGAAAATGTACAGGGACCAGCAAAAAAAAAATAAGTTAGGGAGGTTTTGAGTTTGAGAAACCAACTTTTGTTGTTGTGGGAAACATAGAAGCATTGCAGGAAATTGTAAATGGTGATACTCTTGGCCATGAATTACAATTTTTAAATGAGTTGACGGGATGCTGAACTTGGAGGCAAGGGTTCATTTACTCAATTACTCTTTAACTTACTTTTGAAACATTTATTTTCTCTTCCCTGTGTCAATAAAATAATAGCCAAAAAGCCTCCAGAAAATCTTAGTTACGGAGGTTTGAGAGGAAAAGCCTTTGAGTTAAGAAATTTGTTTAATGAATTGTTTCTAAGCGAATTCAAATGGGGGCTAAGAAAAAATTCGAATTAGACAGATTCGTGCTATCGAGGTTTGACATAAAACTAGAAGCTGCGATTATCTCAAATATTTGACTAAAAAGATCACAAATGCATCGAGTTTTCTCTTATGCTGAATGCAGAAAAACGGCAGAGAATCAGTCTTCGTTAATTTCCGAAAACCTCGACGAATGCGTCGTTTTTTAAAAATGGCTAAAATCAAGAAAGCCGCAAAGAAGCAATCTTGGTAAATTTCAAAGAAGACTATCGAAATCCCAATCAATCCTCTCGACAAAATATAATTCATAAAAACAATGAGTATTGTATTTGAGTGCTTTCGAAGTTGCCAATGACATCTACCCTATCGCGGAAGAACTCTGCCATTTTAATGCATAAATTCTGCAGCGTGGACTGAAAATTTCTCCCAGCACAGTAGCGCTTTGGACGTTTTATGTTCTATGAACTGATTTCAGTGTTGCAAAGTTGTGTCTTGAATTTTGCAGTGATTGCCAAAGGACAAATTCTCACCCCATATTACCGAATCCTGAACAAAAACGGCGGCTTTACCTGGGTTCAAACCTGCGCCACGGTTATTTGCAATGCCAAAAGTTCTGAGGAGCAGAACATCATTTGCATCAACAATGTGATAAGGTGAAATTCTCGACTTGGCGATGCAATATCGAGTTGCGAAACGATTTTTTTTTCTTTCAGAAAAGGTTTCCAGTCTTGTGAAAGCTATTATTGAGGGCTAAAACGAAATTTAATATCAGTTTTGATGAACCGTTTATTTATCGGGTATCCATAAAAAAGAGATATTTAAAAAAAATAACATGATAATGAACCCTGAATTGTTTGACACCTCCATCAAAGTATTTTTATCAGTGCCCAACAGTTGAATCGTTTGGATCTCAAGCTGAGCTAAAATTTTAAAAATTCCTTAAAAGCGTATTTTTATTTCTCTTCCCAGCAGCCACCGTTTCATGCTTGCTATTTTTATACGCCACTTTCAATTTACGAGAAAAAAAAATCATTGCATGGGCAGGAAAAACTATTCCTTCACAGCATTCAATTTGACTGGATGAAGGTCGAGTTGATGTACTTTCAGTTATTTAATTCTCAAAATCAAAGCAGCATGAAAAACTGTTTTTCAGCTCTAAGAAATATCGTAAGATTTGGTTGAAATTGGAGACTGCTTTTCTAGAGTTTCATCCGATGACCGATGATGAGATTGAGTTTAAATTCTTGTAAACTGTAAACTAGCTTTTGCTACTTTTGTATGGAAACCTTTCGAATGTGTGTTGACTTTTAAATTAATTTTCATAATTGTTTTAATTCTGGTGCCCATAATTCAATTCTAACGCACAAAAGTGATCTAAAGGGTTTGAAATACTGTACAGTATTTGAATTACCCGAGCATGACAGAGAAAATTTAAAACTATTTTTAAGGGTTGCGTTTGATGACAGATGGACTTCCGTAATACTGAAATCGACTGGAAAATGTTTTTGAGAGAACAATTCGTTCATCTTGATAGAAAAAAACAGTTTGTGTTAAACGAATCATAATTTAATCTTTATGTAATATTTATGCGACCCTTTTTCGTTTTTAGTGCCTGTGAATTCGAGAATTTCATAATGGACATGTGCCAATTGCACACATGTCCGGAAACTCGTCAGACGTCGAATGCTGGCGACAGTTATTCATTGCTTGTTCCAAAGAGAGAATCTTCGACACCTGCGATGGACAATGCTGCTCATGAAAGTGCGACGGATGCGTCGGATGAAACTGAAGCCGATCTCTCAAGTGAGCATTCGAATCATCAATCAAAAATTTAAATTAATGTTGAAGGAACCTGGTTAGACGTACTAAGGGTGTCCTTTCTCTGCGACGAAATTCCAGGGACCAGAAAGAAAAGCATTGTAGGAAGAATTTTATTGTAGAGAACCACTGAAATATGGGGAGAGAACATTAAATGGGACAAAAACAAAATTTGCGGTACCGAGGAAGTTGCTATAGACAAGATTATGACCCTAATCGCAAGGGAAACCGTGAATATACTGTATGTTCCTAGTTATTTTTTCAGAATGATTTATTGAGTGAGTAATTTGATGGCAAAGAAATCATACAATTCACAAATCGCACTTCAAAAAATGCTACACATGTGAATAAAAATGAATTTGTACACAAATCCAAACAAAGAAATAAGAGAGGGTCTGCCTATCTACTAATTGAAAGTATTAAAAATTCACATTCAGCAGCAGTCAAGATCTTTTGGTTCAATTCTCAAAATTTTCAATTCACACAGAGTCAACTTTATTTGTGGTGAGAACCCAGGAAAAGTTTGTTCTCTGCTTCTCATTTATTCCTATTGATGCAGTCTTTGCAAAACCAATATTTTGTGTGGGATCACAACAATCTTTGTATTCCTTCTTCCTTTTTACATTTTTTATAGCTCTGTTTTGATTTGGACTTGAGCATAAATTCATTTTTATTTAATTGTGTAGTGTTTCCAGTGTTCCTTGGGAATTGTATAATTTCTTTTGTCATCAAATTACTCAATGAATCATTCTGTAGAAAACTATGAGCACACAGTATATTCAAGATTTCCCCTTGTGAGTGGGGTAATTCAGGTTGCTTTATTTCCCGGACTGAGTTTTGCGATTTTGCTGTTCTGCAGCAATTTTGCATTTAAAATTATAGAGGAGCAGTAATGTAAATTGTTTCCTTTTTGCAGAGTCTTCTTTGTCACCGAGCCGAGATTCCTTGATATCCCAGCATAGTGATCATGGGGCAATTAGCCCCAGCAGTGGCCTCTCAAGACTTCATCGACAGGTGAGAAACGAAATTCAATGTTTTTCCCTCTGGGCATTTTAGAAATACCTACGACTCATTTTTTTCAAAATGGCAAGTGGATGGAATTTCTTTATCCTTCTGAGCTTCATTTTTCAAGAATGAGTATGAAATACGGTGGGTTTCTCTAAATCGAATAACCTGCAATTTTTTTTCAATTTGAATTAAACGTAGCTATATTTTTTGCGGCTTTGTAAACACAACAGCATACTGAATTTTTTACAAAGTAATAGTTGTGCCATATAGGAATATTTTTTTGGTCTTTTTTCAAGATTTCTTGAAAAGGTTTCATCACAAAGAAATTTGAAAAACTGCTGAATAAAATTTGAAACGTTGTCGTTTTAGGTATTTTTATCTTTTAGGTATCTCCTTGTCACAGAGTACTAAACATTGTTCCGGCTGGTTAAACTGTGATATTTTTGAGTTTTAACAATTATCTAGACTTTAGATGGAATAATGCGTAAAACAGAACAAAACTAATTTTTTTTAAAGCCTGACAGATATTTAGCACCCAGTGACATGAGTGGAGATCACTGAAAGTTTGCACTTATCATCCCGCAGTAAATTGAAAAAAACTTCTTTAAAAATCTGAAAAAAAATCCCAGAATCTGAAAACATCATGGGCTATGTCACAAATATATATATATATATTTTTTTTACAATCACTCCTACTCTAGAATTATCAGAGGTCGCGTCCAACTTTTACCACCCTCATCCACATGCAATCATGAAAATCAACTCGCCCTTCTCGAATAAATAGCTTAAACGATCGATTGATTGTTCCTTCTTTTTTATGTAAAAAAAAATTATAACAACAGTCAGCCGATGATGAGCGAGGAAAACCCGACTGCACCAGGCGTGGGAAAAAACGAGGGCTGATGAACCCCTCCTCGTCTCTCGCCAACGGTTTGGGCCATTCTCCAAACAGCAACTGCAAAAGAAAACTCGGAGAACCCGGCGTGGACTCAGATCCCATGCAGTCCACGGATTCCATTGTGGAAAGTGAGAGATTTGTTTTTTTGCACATATTGTCTGAACCAATGTTTTTTTTTTCTTTCGATGACTTGAATTTAATTTCAACACCCGAGACAATTTAGCGCTTCACAATTACTGAGCGTCGGTTTAAATTAAATTTTGAAATTTTTAGGAAGAATACAACCACCACTCGTTAAAATCATGCAGTGTCTTTTGCAGCTTATAAAAATATACGGGCAGAAATATATGTGTTTTTTTTTTTTTGAAACTCACTGTAGCACAAAACTAGTGACTCATGATGTCATGAAAATGAAATAAACTTTGGAGGAGGTTTCTATCTTTCGTGAAACTGAAGTGGTATGTAAAAGTGACAGGGAAAAATATTGAAAAGTGATGAGCGAATTTACTTGACCACTTTACTTAATTCGAATCATTATTCCTGTAAGAAGAACATTAGCAACATAGGTAGCCATTCCTTCTTGGCATTCCCGGTGTTAATTGGAATCAGACATCGTTTTAAAACGCTTTTATGATGCAAAACAATTCTGAGTGGGGAGAAATTGATGCTGCAGCCACAAAGAAACTGTCAAAAAAAAAAGTTTCATGAGAAACAGAGTCAGTGATGACATGTTATAATTTACAGAACTCAGAAGTAATTCTGTCACTGTATAATGTAAGCCTAAAAACCCTTTTTACAAGATTTTCAGAGGTGCTCAGTTGGATGGCGCTGGGTGTTGGTTTTTATTTTACGTCGTATTCAAGCATTTTTTTAAATTTCCGAATTTTTTTTCAGGCCCCCACACGCAAGATCAGTCGTCAGACGTCATCATGGCGGCGTCCACAGAGTCGCCTTCAGGTGGGACGATTCTTCCTGCTGATGAAGACTCAACCAGACCAAATTCCACAGATGGTGGGTACAGTATTCTTTGCTCTGACATTACTTCACTTGTCATAAAATCAGACCTTTTTCAGTTAAACTCAGAGTGACCCAAGAAAATTTTGACTTGGGGAGTGTTTTGAGTCATAATATCCTGAAGGGAAAAAATTAAAGACTACGTAACTGTGAAATTGGTGCTATTTTGAGTCTTGAACTGCTTGATAAATCTGTTGACAGAATGCTGAACTTGGTACAATATCGCACTTTTTTTTTTATTTCAATGTCAGGAAAAGAAGGGTGTACATCATCTATACATAACAGGGGTAATCAATGAAACAGAAAATTCTATCTTGAGAAGTTTTTGCTTTTCAAAATGTGTGTGGCATTGGAAAATAATTTTTGGTATTGAGTTGAATCTTTTTGTTTTACCCTGATGGTTTTTCTTTTTCTTTTTCGTAGATGATGGAGGTGCAGCAGCCAAAGCCATGCAGTGGACAGCCTCCAAACTGCTGCCCTTGGATGGCCGTCGGTCCTCGTCGACCCACCCTCACGAAGACGACCGGATGTTGCACCAGCACCTGCCCCACGACCAGGTCGAGCCGTCTTCCGGCGGCGACCCCGGGTCAGGCTCGGGCCCCGTCGACTTCAGCACTCCGGAATCCGCCACTTCCTCTCCTCCTGGGTCAGCACAACAACAACAACAACAACAACAACAGCAGCAGCAGCAGCAGCAACAACAACAACAGCATTTTCACCACCCACATCCGCATCACCCGCATCATCATCATCAGCCGTATGGGCTTTTGCATCACGCGTCTTGGGCAGCTGCTGCAGCCTCAGTGGGTTCCAATGCAGCAGCTGCGTCTGCGTTGCCTGCTACAGCCCTGCTGAGACAGATTTACGCAGGGCGATCTGATGTCCTAGTGCCTGGGTTTCATGCTGGGCCGCATTTGTCCGAGTATGGACACCCTCAACAAGCACCAACTATCCAGGTGATTTTATTTCCTTCTTCTTCTTCTTTTATTTATTTTTTAATCTATAATAAATTTGGTCCGTGCATTGTAAAACTAACGTTTGGCATTAACAGAACCCAGCAAACAAGCAAAACCGATTATGAATCAGGCACATTTTTCTCCTGACAAATGTAGGAATTCTTTCCTCTTTCAATCCAATGAACCCAATAATTTCCTCTTTTTTTTCATGTCCTGTTTTTGGGCAGGAAAAGAGGAGGAAAATTCGATATGATCTTTGTCATCTTGCGAAAAAAAAAAGAGGATAATACTGTACCTCTTCTGAACGTCCCTTTATTCCCGCGGGTGCAAAAATTTGTGTACGAAAGCTTTCGAAAATGTGTAAAAAAAAAAAAAGAATCTTTACGTCATTTAAGTTGCTCTGAAATACAGTAATGCTTTTTGGTGTTTTGATGATTTTTTTTTGTTTTTTTTATTCATCTTTGCATCAGTATGTGTCTTCAGTTTATTTTTATTTTCTTCCTCCACTACACACGGCTTAAAGTAAGAATTGTTGTGTCCGGAAATTATCAAAAAATTCTTCATTTTTATTTAAATTGCTCTGAATTTCAGCGATTTTTTGTGGTATTTTGAAGGATTTTTCGTTTGTCTTTGTCATCAGTTCGTGTCGTCAATATCGTATTTTCCTTGTTCCCCAACACAGCACGACTTCTCGAATCGACACTTGGAGGCGTCGATGGGTGGCGGGGATTTGCACCAGCAGCACGGGTTCCGAGGCCAGGGCAAGCTGGTGCCCGCCGACGGGTACCCCGCAGAGTCACCAGTGCAGACCGGGATCGTTTATTCCGACTACACGACTGCCAACACGTCGCCGAGTTCCGTGTCACCCACGGGAACGAACCCGGGTTCTGGACGGACCAACAAGCTTTACAGGGGCACGTCGCTGCTCGACGCTCACGTGAGTTTTTTTGTTTATGCTGTTGGATTGGAATGACCTAGGTGGGGAATTTAAATCTGCCGGAATGGGAATGAGCATCAGGTCAAATTCATTTATTGTGAATAATACCTGTTGTGAAGAATGTAACTGTAATTATACAGATCAACGAAACATTTTCAAGAGGCCCAATGCCCTTAATTAAATCAAAATTTTAATTATCAACCAAACATTTTTTTAATTTTTGAGCGGTTTTTTTTATATTCACTCATACCTTCGAAAAATTTCATGAATTTGATTAATGTACTCCCGGTTTCCAATGATTCCGTTGATGTTTCAATTGAAAATCTATATGGAATACCTTTTACTGAAGGGAAATGACGGAATACCAAAGCAAAATTCTATATTTTTTTCATCAGTGCGTGGTTCAATTCCTTTAGATGAGCTTTTTCATTTATAGGATTACCAAATGAGTAGAAATTATTGCTTTGAAGTTTGCACAGTGCAGCATTCTGATCAAGTCAACATGCGATATTCAAGCTAGACAGATTAAGCCTCTACTCCGTGAACATTTTCGTAATTTTTCATGACGAATGGTTATTTGAATGAGAAAAATATCAGCATTTAAATATGTCTACGTAATTCAAGAGGGCATAAAAAAACTTGAATAATTTTTTCCTCTGACGATGACATTTTAAAGACAGAAGTACGTGAAATTCAGCAATTTGTCACTCGGAACTTTTGACATAAATTAATTAAACTTGGCACAAAATTCAGTCGGGGATGGCTTGAAACAAATTCGACGTAGGGAGGTTTGAGTAATTGAGGTTCAACTTGTAATTGGTTTCAAAGGTATTTTTCAACGAGTTCGTGATCAACAAAACTAAGGTATTCCTGTTGCGAAATAAGAATTTAAAAAACTCTCTTACAGGTTATAGTTTTGTTTTGCTGGAACCCATTAAACTGGTTTTCTGGACCTTATTGTTTTATTAAGTCATGCCCTGTATGACATGTTTGTTACCTGGTTTATTTATTAATTGATCGATTGAACAGAACACTTTATTTGCCGCTTCTCAGCGTTCACAAGGTTCAATCAAGATTTCCACATCCACATCCCCTTCCCACCCAATCCAAATTCCCTCAATGACATTTAATCACTTCAGAGCAGGAAAGCACAAATTGATAACAAAAATAAGAGAAAATACATTACAACATGAAATACAACTGGACATCTGACATGCATGCATACACCCATTCACTTCCTGACATTGGTAAAAAAAAAAATTATTTATTTATTTTGTGTTTCTTGTAAAGGAACCGTTGTCTAGGCAACACCATCAGTATTTGGCCGCCGCCGTGGCGGCGGCAGCGACGGCGGACCACGCAGTGGGTTTCCTGCCAGGCGCCAAGCACCACGCATTCGGTCCAGCCGACGACCTGGACCCGCTGCAAGGATCTCCGCCTGCGGCCAGCAGGTCGCAGCACCTGGCCCCTGCACCGGGCCACCACTACACGGCCAACTTGACCTCGCCGGCCGGGTTCCAGGTCTACCACAAGTCTGCCAGTGATGAGTTCCACGGCGTCTTGCCGAGCCTCAAAAACGCCGGGGGCAACTGCTGGTTCCCACCAACGTCGTGATGATCGTATAGCGCTGCCATCTATGATTCTTTTTTTTTTTCTTGTGGAGCACGATTCTGCGTTTCTCAGCCTCATATGGAGAGGAAGGGTTCCTCATCATCATCAACCCCCGTTTTAATCAGAAATGGGGGATGAATATATTCTGATTTAAACATTTTTTTTAATTGCGAGGTATTTGTGATGATTTTGTTGCTATTCCGAATCATGATGCTGAATAAGTCAGCGTTAAGCGAGAACAATTTAGAATAAATCTCATTCATTGTGCTTCCAATTCTCACCCAACTTCGTTTTGAAATATTAAGGTTAAATACGGCGGCAGTTTCGGGATAACAGTATTCCTCAAAATTCCCTGAAACGAAGCCATTTTCGAAATGCAAGAATAATAATCACTAGGAAAAAATCATACTTCTTACAGTTCAGCATGAGTTAGATTTCAGGCTCAGCAAAATAACCTCGTTGTTTGCAAATAGATGATGATAACAAAGTCACAAAATTCATTAAAAATGTTGAGCTATGAAAAATATCACTAATTTTTCTCGAGTAATTTTGGAATTCAATTGCTGTTCATCTCACAGTTAGCTTTCAGGAGACCTTGGGCCAAAACGAGAAGTCCTCAACATACAAAATTAGCAAGCAATTTTTTTCCGGGAATTTTAAACATACCTGTAGTCTAAATACTGAAGATGAAGCTTCAAGAATTAATTTAAATTGGAATAGTTTATGCTTCTTCTCTTTTCTTTTCAAATACTACCGCTCTGAATCAATTTTTCAATGCTAGTACAAAAATACCTGGAGATATTTTGATTTTAGTTTTATAAATATTTTAAAAATCTGGAAAGCTTTATTTCGTGAAATTGCACTTCAAATTTTAAACTACCTCTGTGGCTCACCGAAGTGCAACCTGGAGCTTGGAGGATTACAAAATTTGCATTGGAATAAATATGCTTGATCATAAAATAAATCCATGCCGTTTATATGATCGCCAATGCCTGCGAGATTACGAGGTTAATTTACCTTATTTTTTCGGGGCAATTTAATATCAGATGAATATATTTGACTAAAAATTGATGGTCTAATAAAAAATAATCGTGTGTTGAGCAATTGTCAAATGCAAATGAGTGTGGAACCCTTCTTCAATAAGGCTGGGGAAAATTAATCGTGTTGCACAAAGCCTTTGTTCCCTGTCTACAGACACATTTTGCCCTTTTGGTTTGTTTGGAATGCTGACATTATCATCATTTGACATGGCATGATTTATTCGCGCATCCGAACGGAAAGAAAAATTGCGCATCAATTCAAGAGAAACGGTCTCCCTTCCAGATTTGTTCTCAACGCGTATTTGCTTTTTTTTTGTGTGCTCAGAAAGCAGTGGAAATACTTTTGCAATCGCAATCGGAAGAATTGTTACCCAAAGAATCTTTTAACATGATTTGTTTTGTGCGCCAAAAATTAGCGTCCCAATTTTGGACGGAAAGGATGGAGAGTGTTTGTTTGGATAGGACGGATTATGCGAAATGGAAAGGAAATGGTCCTAATTTTTTTCAGGTAGCTTATTATGCAATTGTTGGTGCCACTGAGTTCGATTCAGCGGAATTCCATTGATGATGGCTATTGGAAAATATATTGTCTGGTCGGACGAACGTCTTTCATTCCTTGAAAAAATAATAATACAGTAATTAGGTATTCAGAAGCACATAGCACTACAATTATCGAACAGTAATCGCATTCATCAGAAGATTTGGGTTTTTTTTCTGCATCAGCAGATTATTTTGCGAGAAAATGAAAATGTGTTTTCCTCAGCAAGCTTTGACATTTGATGTCTATGCATCTAATCAATCTATCATAAGTTCCATGCTTACGCAAGTACCAGGTGCACTTCTTTTTCAAATCAAGAATGAAAGAAAAGGATGCGCGCGCACACATTTTTTTTTTACAATTTAAGCTCAAAATGTTACAATTCAGGTGTGCATCGCACCCAATTCTGATAGGAAATTGTATATGATGTTGATCAACAACATGGAAGAAATGGAATAGTGTATTATTCAATTTAAGTATTCAACATTTCAATTGAACAGGTCGTGTTTAAAAATTTACTTGATTTTTAATTCGTTCTGGTTGAATAACTATGTGAGACGTGAATGAACCCGCGACTCATGAAATCCTGCAACTACTGTACTTGGAATTGAAAATGAAGTCAATTTCTTAAATAATAGAAAAATAAATGAGCAACAACTATTTACGGTGAATTACGACAGAACTCTTCATTCCACCCACAATACCAAACTCGCCACAGAAGACGAAGGCAGAATTCATTTTCCGAACGCAACAACAAAAAATCCGAAGCTCGCCATCAAGTTTTTTCCCTTTTCTTACGTGTACCGAATGTCGTAGAAAAAAAAGAGACATAGAAAAAAAAACGCAGCAGAGCAAAGCTCGAAATATAGATCGAGAATTTTTTGAAAAAAGAAAAATCCGGAGAAGCAGAGGCACGTTTCACAGCCCACAGGGCAAAAAGGGCAGCGAAAAAACCCCGTACGAGCTCGACCAGCACGCAAAAACAGAAGACAAGCAGAACATTAGCAGACACTTTTCCTTTTTCATAAATTACAAAGTTATCCTCAGTTCCAAAAAAAAAGAAAAAAGAAATTTATTGGAATCGAAACCTTTTCCCACCAATAGAGAGAAAGATTTTCAAAAATGTTATCGTCAGTAAATCGAAAAAAAACGCACCAATGACTTGTGAAAACAAAAATCAAGCACCAGATAAACTTGACCAAGCTTCATATTGAAAAAAAAAAAACTTCGATTCGAACCGATTTCCAGGGAAACTGAGACACTTTGATCTCAATTCAAGTCGTCCATTTCTTTAAATATAAAAAAAGCTTTCTTTTGAATCCCTTCCAGTCTTACGCACTTATCCCACAAAACTTCGAGCAAGTTTTCCTTTTTTCACCTATCGTCCCCAAAGTTTATGTCATTTTCTCTTTTTTGTCCGCTAAAAATGTACACGACATCACAGGTCCAACGCGGATTCTTTTCTTTCTTTCTTTCTTTCTTGCGTTTCGCGGGAATATTTGCAAGTTCTCAACAAACAAGCCTAAGCAATTAAAAACGGAAAAAAATGTCGAAGAAGAAATACATTTCTGTTTTAAAATAACAGATAAAAAAATTTAAGGCGATGAAGCATCTGGCGCAACACAAAACCCACTTTTGTGAACTTTTTCGGTATTTGAATGCAATGTTAGAAATATGCTCCAAGAAAAGGCGAATTCACCGATGCAAAGGAATGTGCTTTTTCCCAACAAAAAAAAAAAAAACGGAAAAGAAAATTTGCATATCCCCAGAAAAGATGCGTCTCTCACAGCTAGATATTTCATGATTTCTCCTTCGTCCTGAAGAGTAAAAAGGCAATCGAACACGTCGTCCTTGATCCCCACGATTTACACAAGTTATCCCACAAAAAAAAAAAAAGAAGAGAAAAACCGCCCCCTTTGTTTTTCGTTCCTGCAATCATTCGTCTCACAAGTCTTCTCTCAATCGTGGCAGTTCATCCTGCAAAATTCCGTTTCCTTGACACACGTGGCCAGGAAGCGACTACAAAAGCAAGGTTTTTTTTCCATATCGTCGCGAAATTCCTTTGACCAGATTAAACTGCAGGATGACTTGAGGATTAATCCTAAAAATTCGCAGATAGTGACTTGAGAAAATTTACCACCTACAAGGAACAAAACAAAAAACGAAAAAAAATATATCGGTGCTCTTCAACGCGCGGAGAGCTGAGTGGAATCACTGCGTTTCGGCGGCGGTGGCGGCTTTTTCCGCTGCGACATTCGCAAACCGGCGCCGTCTCCGTTCATCTGGCGCTGAAGACTGCCTGTGTCCGCCATACTCAGACTGTGTTGCCGCAACAGGGGTCCCGGGGGTGGTGCAGGCCGAGAACCGTAGATCGGTTGTTGCTGCTGCTGCTGCTGGGGGTACTGGTTGGGTTGCTGGTAGAACTGCTGCTGGGGTTGGTAGCCAGGTCCATAAATGGGCTGGTCTACGGCGAAACTGTGTGACCTCTGCTGCGAGTAGATGGCTTCTCCGTAGATCGGCTGCGGAGACTGGGGGTTCATGAGCGACTGCGTTCTCAGCATTGGCGCCTGGATTAAACACACACACACACACACAACGAAAAACAAGATCACTGATCTGCAGCACTTGAGTAATAAAAAATAAAAGAAAATGCCCCACATTCAAATGACACATTTAAAGCAGTTGAGAAATTGAGACGGCGAATCCTTCTGAACGCAGAGTACGAATTTTACCAGCAACACTTACGTTAATTATTTTGCAACTCGAAATTTCGTTCTTTTCAGGCAAGAGTCATGAAATTAGCGCATTCGAACACAAGGAGCCTTCAAAATCAAATAAAAATAGGAGTATACTGTATACAGATTCATGCCTCCCCTAAAAATAAATATTCACACGTTGAAAACTGAAATTCAGGATACTGTATGTTTTTTCAGTGCGAAAGACTCTTTAGAAATCTGAGTTCTCCCCTCAAACCTAGACAAAAAATGGACAGTCCGAAAGAAGAAAAAAGCTCACATTGGAGAGCGGCTGTCGAAGCATTTGCTGCGACTGATGAATGCCGTATATCGGTTGCGGTTGTTGCTGCGAAGGCGGCACATTGTAAACGACTCCTTCAGACGACGCCTGGTGATGCATGAGATGATGATGATGCTGCATCTGTTGCATTTGCTGCTGCTGCTGTTGTTGTTGTTGGTAGATCGGCTGTCGCGGATGCGTGTCATAAATGGGCTGCGGAGCCAGTTGAGGCGGCTGCTGCAGAGGGATTGACCTGTTTCCGTAGTGGTCCATGACCCAGCGACTCACGTGCGAGTAGGAGTCGATCTCACCTCCGTCTCTCAGGGTGTTTGGCTCGTAATCCCGAAATCCCAGGACTTCGTACTGAAAGAAAAAAGGGTCACATGAGACAAATCAGATTTCCGTCGAGTTTCAATTAAAATTTTAAGGTGTGATTTATTAAATTTTAATACACGACACGTTTTATTATACTGCATGACGAGAAATTAAACTTTCTGGTGCCGACCGAAGTGTTGAGAATTAAAAAAAAAAGTTTTCTCAAATTTAAAATACAGACAATTACTGCGCAGAACAAAACCACGCAGAATCTGATCTTTTGTACACAGATATTGGAAAGAACTCGGAAAAAATAAGCACAAAATTAGCCTGTTTAGTATTATGCATTATAGTGAATTAAAATTTATTTTTAATTTTTGTGAATGTAAAAATCTCAATTTGTTCATGAGATATGAAAATTTAAAAAATAGATATGATGGTAAGAGCGTCCGGATCGGAAATTTGGGTAGATTTTTCCGAGTTTCAAGTGTACTGTAAGATTCAATTATTTTCTTCTATCAAGGCTGGCATATTTCTTGAGCAAAAAAAGAAATTGCGGAAGTGAAAAAAAAAAATGAGACAGAAATTCTCACAGGATTTCGGATGGTGCCAGACTTGACTTTCTGTGCCACTTGCCACTTCTTCTCCATGACCTTGCGAAGGTCATTGAGGAACTCTCGAGGCGGAGTGTTGGTGGAACCTGCTGGGGCGCCAGCTTCGTCCGAGAAACTGATCTTCTTGGGCTTCCGAGCCGGGGACGGAGGAACGAGTCCGCGGACGCCGTTCGACCCGATCCCGTTGTGGGGATGGTGACTAGAGTGACGGTTCACAAGTATGCCCTGGGGCTGTTGGTTGTTGTGGTGGTGGTGAAGCAGCTGCGGTGGCGGCAGAGGCGCCGTGGCAGACGAGGACAACGAAGACGACGACGTTGTTGACGATGACAGCGCGGGTGGCGGTGGTGGCGGCGGTGGAAGCAAATGCTGCGGCTGCTGATACTCTTGTTGATGATAGTGCTGCGGATGCGGGAGTTGCAGGGCTGGTGGAGCGGCATACGTCGGCTGAGGCGGTAATTTCATCTGCTGCTGCACCTGCACATAATCAAGAATCATTAGACACATTATTCTCTCCACCAGTCCGAAAAAAGCAACAACAACAAAAATATGTGTCACTGAATTTCTGCGCCGAAATGCAGTATTTCGGTGAAGAAACTTCGACACATTTTTCTTCGCAGACTTGGAAGAAATACGCATTAAACCGAGGAATTCAAAATAATGGAAGCACTGACAACAGCACAAAGACGCCTTCAAAAAATACCCGTGCGGAAATTAAGAGACGGATTACACATCGAAAGATCAAGTCTCTGAAGAGCACCTCTAGAAAATTTATTCATCAGAAAAGCAGGTTTCCAACCAGCGAATGCAAATGAGCACAGTACGTGTACAACTATATGTACAAAATTAATTATTAATATTCTTTCTTTCTTTCTTTGAATTGCAATAGTTCTCTTGATACAAAAATCGAGACTTGCTCTTTCACTATACTTGCTCATTCGTGCAGTTTCTTGCTATTTTTTAATTTAATATTTTGTGGTACACCGATTTCAGAAATTTCTATAGTTTTGAAGAAGCGACAGAAGCAGGTCAAACTTGGCTCAAACTCTTGATTTGAAAAATAATTTTTACTTAACGCCAGACAGCGAATTTTAAAGCCAATACTGTACGAATGTGTTTTTTTTGCACCAAGTTTGGTGGTTTTCTATTTTTAAAAGCACAAATTTCGCTTTTTACTTCTAAGTTCAAGCCAAATTCCACCATAATGACTCACACAAATAAAATAAATATTGGAGAATGTGCATCTTTCGTTGGAGTTTTTTTTTTCGGCCGTCAATAATCAGAATGTGCGACCCGTTTCAGCAAGAACGGTTTTGCAACGTGACCTTCCAGCTCAACAGGTTCAATGAAGCTATATTCACAGCGTTGGTTCATCCACGGCGCAGTGGATTGTGAAGCCCTGAACTTTCGCATTTCAAGTTCATTATTCCCTCAAAATCTTTGACAAGCCGTCGTGGAAGCAAAAGTATAAGTGATGATGAAAACATTTTAAAGCGAGGACCACAAGGCGCCAGAATTGAAAAAAAAAGTTTAAAAACCAAAGGTTTTCTGAAACCTCAAACCCCGTCTTTTGTGGTTGTCAGAGCTTCCTATAGTTGCAGCAAGTTCGGAGCACCTGTTGCGCAGTCATGTAAGCCGGCGTTTCGGCGTGATGAAGGTGGTGTTGCTGCTGCTGCGGCGGCGGTGGAAGCGGCAATGGCGGCGACGAATGCTCATAGCCTCCCTGGGATTGCATCTGTGCAGCGTGGTTGAAGCTCGCAGTCAAGACCGACACTGGCGGCGAAGGAACGTGATACGCTTCTGGAGGCGGCGGTGGCAAATCCGGGTCGTGATGCGTCGCCTGTTCCAGCTCCTGCGGCAGCGGCGGTGGCGGCAACGGCAGTGTGTCCACTTGATCTCGTTCTCTCTGCTGTTGTTGCTGCTGCTGCTCTTGCTGTTGTTCTTGCTGTTGCTGCTGCTGTTGTTGTTGATGTTGAAGCAGCTGTTGCTGTTGTTGCTGCTGTTCCTGTTGCAAACGCATTTGTCGCTCCTGAACACCCGCAGCTACCCGCAATGACAACGAAGCCATTGCGGACGCCATCCCTGCGAAATAGAAAAAAAACGCAAAACATCAAAATTTTGGGCACACAAACTGGATATTTTTTGGCTATTCCTGAACACATCCTAGACAAAAAGAAATTTTCCAAGCGGAATATAATACACAGAAATGAGAAAGGTCGGTTACAATTGATCATCAGTAGGAAGAGGAAGAAACTGAAATTTAAAAAAATATCTGATTCAATTTTTATTGACAACCATCCATATCTTTTAATTTCTGAAGAAAAAAACAAAAACAAATGCAGCATGAATCGTAAATCTTAACGAAAGAAAGCTTCTCCAACCTGACCCTTCAACGAATATTACACGTACTGTACTTATAAAACTATTATAAACTCCGTTTTCATCCCAATACAAGACCATCAATCATATTCATATGATGGATCTGAACTTTTATTATCATGAAAAATTACCACGATATCATCCTATAATGAAAGGCGCGATTTTATTGCTCGCAATTTCCTCAGAATCCGAAGAGACTTGAATTTCATTTCTCCGTTTTAGCTTTCTTAGTTCTTCAGACGAGAAAATATAAAACTAAATATTCAACAGTATATATATCAGAAAAGAACCTTGGGCGGATTGACGACTGGGATCAGTGCGGCGGATAGTCCCGTATCCACCACCACCACTGCCGCCACTACCACCATGGCGTTTGCCGGCCGCCATCATGTCCAGCGGTGCCGGCATGACGTGATCGAGCAACAACTCGGGCGTCGGCGTTGTCGGCGAGTCACGGCCGTCGTTGCTGCCGTCTCCGTTGTTCCGCTGCGAGTGGTTGTCTCCGACGCCGTCGTCGTCCTCGTCGTCGTCGTTGCTTCGCAAACTGTCGATCCCGCACTCCTTGACAAGCAATCGCGTCGTGGCCGTCAACGGGATCCTCGGGGCCATAGACGGCTTCCGTTTGATGGTACCCGTGGGTCCGGCGAACGCGTCGCACTCGAACCCTTCTGCTGCTGACGACGCTGTGGTCGGCGTACTCGTCGAAGAACAGCACCCGCTTGAACTTGAGCTCGATCGCCTGTCAAAATTTCGAAAATCACTGTACTTTTGATCATTGAGCTGAATAAAGTCAGAAAAAAACAAGAATAAAAACATAGGTCCTCAAATTTTGCGTTGCGAAGCCCCCGAGAATTTATAGTCAATTTTTCGTGGGCTGCGCTCTCTTGTAAAATGAAAATGTTTTCATTTAAATACTGAATATATTTAGGGTGTCCCAAAAGGCCCGAAACTCGTGAAGAATACCTTGTTTCCGTGCATGATTTCTGGACATACTTTTGCAATGCCAGTCAGTATAAAGTTTATCCCAAAGGAATACGAAGTGACATAAGGTCTTGAAATTGAAGAGACGTTGGATATTGATATAATTAATTTTGACAGAACCTTCCAAGACTTGGGATAACAAAAATAAATTTCCCTTGGATGCGAGATTTATAAAATACGTCTCTGCTTTCATTTGACTCAAAAATAAATAAAAATGAATTGGCCTGTGAACGTTTGATGCATATCACTCTTTTGAATTGCACAATAATGATCAAAATAAGAGTCCGGTGATTCAAATCAAGGTTCAGGTACCACCTAAATTTCGTCCAGCACTTCCTATTAAAATCAGGATTATTAACTTGTGTGTCTTTGAACTGTGAATAAATGACGATATGGACTCGCACAATTGAATGTTTTACCATTTTTATTTTTGCCTTCAAATACTTCCTTTTTATTGTTTAGTCTGGCTCATATTTTCCAAATTGGATTACAGTTATGCCATCAAAAAAATACCAAACCCGATTGTTTGTTTACAATAGACACTTGAGGCAATGGCCACACAAATCATCATTAAAAAATATAACATATCGTTCTGTCGATTTTCTACATTTTATTCGCACATAAAAATTACCTGCTGGCATAAATTTGCTCATCACGGGTGGATTCCTCTCTGACGATTGGCGTGCTGACTGGGCCCTGGTGCACAGAATTGGAGGACTGTTGCGGAGTCTTGTTGGCACTGCTGTTTCCGGTAGTCTGCTGACACTGTCGAGGCACAGAGACGACAGAACAGGCTCTTTCCTGTGCCAAAATATCAATGTCCTCCTGCGTGATGTCCTCCATCAGCGTCCGGTAATTTTCCCACAACTGCCGGCCCCACTGCAAAAACACGCAAAAATTTATAAATTGCGAGAGTAAAAATGTCTAACCGGGATTTAATTTTTTTGCCGCTTTTCAAGACGAGAAAATTTAGAATTTCTGTACCCTCGGCATGGGGTAATAATCACTTGGCTTCGACCGCAGTCCAAACCATATCATTTCAGAAAAAATTGCAACCTCTTAGTAACGAAATTTTTATTTTTTTAAACCTATAGTAGTCTTAATTGTCAAGAAATACGCAATATCAAACGTTTTCTCAAAATCTGTAATCGACCAGAAGCATAAATTCACTCAAAATTTATCGTTTCCTCCTTGCCGTTAGTGAGGAGGTGGGAAAAAGTTGCCTTCGTTTCGTGAAGTAATTGTATATCCAGGTACTTTTTCATTACTGTAATCACGAGTTATATTGCAGCACAGCCAATTTTCTACACAGGTCGACGGAATCGAAGCAGACAGAATTACTCTATAATCAAAGGCAACTTTTACAAAGAACCATTCGTAATCCTCTGTTTTAATTTCCATTCCATTTTCGGCAAAAAATAATTGGTTTCCTGCTTCGAAAAACAATATTAAAGCTCGGAAAGTGTTCGAATACTTCTTGACCAACGAAAAAAAATCGAAATTGATTTTTTTATTACAACTGGACATAACTGAACTGAGACGAAACTAACAATTAAGTCAGCTTAATTATTTTTTAGTCTTTTGCTCATCATAAAAAAATCAATTTAGCAATTCTTCCACAAGAATTAAACGCGCAGAAAACTTCTCCATATTCAACTCAAGTCTACTCCTTCTTTTTCTTTTCTTTGAGTCTTAGCACTGCACAGTACTTTGAACTCGGGATTTTCATATTCATCTGAGAACAGCAGTGTTGCGAAATCTAATCCGGGTTTTGAAATTTCTCTGCGAATTGAATCAAGCAGACCTTGGCCACGCGGATGCCGGCAACCCATCGCTGCAGGGAGTCCTGGTCTTCTGCGCACAGGTACTTGATGTACTTGGGGGCCTTGGCCTGGATCTGCGGGTTCTTGATCGCGAATGTGAAATCCGACGGCGCTCGGTACTTCTTTTTCCACCCGATGCCGAAGTACACCTAAAACGAACGAAAATAAGCAAAGGGAAACGTCAACGTCGGAATACTGTGCATCGGAAAAAACACCATCAATCAATACACAACACCAAAAAAATACACGACGAGACGATTGAGCGCTTCCCAAATTGACGAGTTCAAAAACAGAGCGCGTCAAAAAAGACGAAAAAGATAAATAAAATCAAGTATATTGTATTGAGGTTCAGCAAATTTACCCTACCGTAGAATCTATCCTACTAAATTCAAATCAAACCAGCCTGAATTCCGCACTTGAACCATTCAACCTGACAAGCCAACATGTGGTAGATAAAAAATAAAAAAAACGCTGCACCGGATACACTGGTTTTTCAAGTGGATTAACATCCGAATGTCTCAGAACAGCGACACTAATAACAGCCTGTATCCACAAAATCTGAAAATGGGCGTATGAAAAATAAGAAAAGCTCAGAAGAGCATAAGTACGAATTATGGATAGCTAAACAATAATTAAAACAATTTACAAATTAAGTAGTAATTTTGTGCTTTTTGTTTAAAGTTACCTCATTTAGAAAAGGTTCCAGGGAGATTTGAAAACTTTTTAAACAAAAGCATCATCGCCTGACACTGAGAAACTTTCATCAAAACCTCGGAACTCGACCGGAAACGTAAAATTTTCCCCATAAATTCACTAACACGCGATGATTTTTACAAAACGTCAGATTTTGAGACGAACTCAACTGTCCGAACACGGCTAAAAAAACTAAAGCAAAAATTATTCGCAGCTTTCCCTTCTTTCCGCGAAATAATAAACTATGATCCACAACCGGACAAAAATTGTCGCTGAAAAAATGAATAATGGCAGACACACAAAATAATTTACAGGAAAAAAAACACTCTGATTTAGAAAAGAACCCTTCGCGACTTTCTGAAAGCCCCTCTCATTGGACTTGATTACGGGACCCACTTGATTCGTGTTTGGTTTTTTTTCCCTCGTCTTATCAGTGGTCCGAGTAAAACCGTACTTGGTACAAGTCAGTACACTACACATGGACCATAAAAACACAAGAAAGAGAGAGAGATAAGCGCGGTCACGGCAGCCAACGGCAGGACACACACACGACGAACGGGGCCCGGGTTCATTCTGCATTACTGCTACCTAGGCACGAGGAGAAACCCGACAAAACAGGAGCAGGAGGGTCGGATCCCGGGTTGCAGGGGTGCCTCTGAGCCATCGTAAGGGTATGCGAACACCGTCAGTTGGGGTGGTTCGCAAACTTGCGCCAAGCAATTCGCGAATGCTACTGTTGTTCAACAACAACAAAATGAAATCTTGTGCTTTAGAGAAGAAGAAGAAGACAAAAAATTGAAAATTGCCTTTCTTGAAACGTAGGGTTTTCGCAAGAAAAAGAAAAAAACCTTGGCTCAAAAGTGCATCGGGCATTTTACAGTTGGTAATTTCACGCGAATAAAGCGGAACGTTTTGGACAAAATAAAAGGTCACTCATTTTCCAGGAGAAAGTCAACGTACTGCAAGTACTGAGGTTGAAACTTGGCCCAACATTTCCCCTTTAACAGGCTTGAAATTAGAAACTCCAAGCAAAAATAAACACAACGCACCGTAACTCTAAAAATGAAACTTATCCGCAGAAGCTCATCTCCTCTGATTAGACTACATTCAGCCAAGTCCAGCTTTTCCAAACATGAAACGGCTCATCTCTGAAAATACGATTGGAGAAAGTGCGCCTAATTATGGGCCAGACTTCGTGTCTTGATGAAGATGAGTTGAATCAGAGCAAGAGATTTTGTACCCAGTTTTGAGAGTTAAGGTTCGAATAGAATAGTTTTGTCAGAATTTAGTCGAAATATACTTCAAATTAAGAGCAAACGAACGATGCGTTCATCAGAAGAATTTTTGCAACCCGGGAAGAATGATCACATGTATTTCACTGTGGGTCCATGCATAAAACACGCGAATTTTCAAATTCAGATCACTTCATGGCTGGTTTTGCTGATTTTTTGAAGGAAGAAACTTGATGTGCAAACATGCATCTTTTCAACTGGAAATTATAAAGCCAAGTGCCCCCACCCACTAATAAATTTACAGTATTTCCAGAATAAGTTTTGTACTGTACAAGGTATGATCTCAGCCTTGCGAACTAAATAAACGGATGATTGTCATCGACAAATATTCTAGCCTTTTCTGGGCAAGATACTCTTTATTTAATATTTGTGTCTAGTCTGTTGTCATCTTAGTTAAATAAAATAAAAAACTGAATTACACCCTTGTTAAATTAATCTTCAAACAAACTGGTTCCTTCACGCGCCATAGGCTATCAGCGAACACCCATTGACTTTATCAAACGAAACAAAAATCGACTCAATTTATTCTCTATTGAGCTGTCTGTTTGAAGATGAGCTGTTTTTTATTAAACCATCCAAGCAATCTTAATTTTGTACAGGATTCAACTTGGAAATCAATCGACGGCGTTATGCAGAATATTCGATTGAGAAATCTTTTTCGACGTTGAAAATAGACTTTAGTGTCCACGTTTCAATTTGTAACCAGAAAACCCAAGTGTGTGATGTATTGTGCGGACGAATATTTAGAAATTCTTGGATTAAATATGAATCAATCTTGTGAGGGTTCAACATGATTTTAAAGAGCGTCGGTGTTCCAGAAAACGGCTGCGACAGCGGTTTTTAAGAATACAGTCTAACCTCTTCAAGCTCAACTTCAAGGGACCAACAAATTCGAGTTGAAAAAAAACAAGCATTTTTGTCGGGGGAGATGAAAAAAGAATTGAAGGAAATTGTAATTGTTAAGATTCTGGGTCTTAAATTGCTTCTTAAATGAGTTGACAGGATGCTGAACTTGGAGTCAGGGTTTCATTTGCCCAAATCGGTCAATCCTTCACTTCCTTCCGAAACACATCGAGTTCCGGTATTTTTTTGTTTTTTGTTTTCCTCTTCTCTGCGTCAGTAAAATACTGTAATAACCAGAAACCTTCACGAAATTAAGAGTTACAGAGGTTTGAAAGGAAAAACCTTTGAATTACGAGGTTTTTAACGCATTCTTTTCATCAGGGAATTCAGAAAAGGAAATTTTAAAAATGCAACACTCGTAAGTACAGTATTTGACTTCTGGAGGTTCAAGTTATCAAGATTCAACTGTAGCAATTCAGGTGGTACTATACATTGCAAGTCTTCCAAGTGCTTGCAAAAATGGCGCAGAAGGGTTGAAGAAAAAAACTCCTCCAATATGGGAGACCCGACAAAAACAACAACAATAACAAAAATGGGACTTGAGGCAAAGTTTGAACACCCTGTTGGGGGGGGGGGGGGGTTCAGTTGCTTGCTTGCTTTCATACATACATACATACATGCACATCCCTCCCTCCCGGGATCTCCAGGGTTTTACTACTACTGCCAGGCTGGATCAATCCCCCCCCCCCCAAATGCTTGGTGCTTCCGGTGGTTCTCCTTTTTCCGCATGGTGTTTCTCTTTCCCCCCTCACAACCGCCACGTCACCCAGCCTGTGTTGATGAGCACGACAGATGCAGGGGCTGCCATCCGAGTGAGTGGTACCCCACAGTCCCACAACCACACACACACACACACGGGGTTCCGCAAATTGGCTCAAGTACTCATCAAAGCCGACGACTCGACTCACTCTTTCCAGTCCTCCTTTTTTTTTCCACCCCACCCTCGTGACGCCGGAACATAAACCTCAACCTTGGTCTACGTCGAACTTGAATCACTCGGGCGATTTCCCGACGGTTTTGCAAGCGTCGGCATCACTTTCAAAAGTTGGGTCAAATTATTCACGAAGTAGGTCGAAAGCTTGCAAAAATAAAAATAAAATTTCAGACGTTCTCGTTAATTAATTCAATTGTCTTGCGACGGTTTTTCTCAATATCGCATATCCAAGGTACTGTACTTTCTTTCAGTGTTATGTTGCCTTTGACTTATTCACCCGGGTTCTAGATTAGGTCAGTTTATTACCTGGAGAAGAAAGATGAGCTGAACTCGTGTATTTAATCAAGTTAGAGGTTTGGGTAGATAATTCTTGTACCAAGAAAAATATACACACTATGTACAACATTCATTCCCAAAAATGTCCACGTTTGGCTTCGTGCTAGTTGGAGGTACAGTAATTGTAGATCAGGTTGAAAAGCAAGGTTAAAATTAGACCGAGATGTTGTACAGTATAAAAGCAGCTGATCTAAAAGCAATGGTGCATGCAAAAAAAAATTAATTTTCGAGGGAGAAGGTAGTTCTGAAAAAGAAATGCCCGGACATCGAGGTTTTGAAACTCATTGACAAGTTCGCGGATACGTTTTCAATCCTTCCCTTCGAAAACTTTCTAGGATACACCACGAAAAAATCATAAACTCATCTGATTTATGAGATTCAAATGACGGTTCGTCCGGTTTACTTTCTCCTGATGAATCTGTCTAATCAGCAGTTAATCACTGCCTTCATTAAACGAAATGACTCTTTAAAATCCTGTTCTTCGCTTTTCAATACTTCTTGGAGTCCCGTAATTAAGATTCGAAGAATATTTATACTGTATCACGCTTGGGATTCCACGGGTAGAATCCGACTTTCCAATGCAGATTTTCTTCATAACACGGCAATTTTTTGTTGTTTACAAATGAATATTTGCCACTGCAGGTTCGTAATCAATTCTGCTTCGAATTCCATTTATAGCATAGTTCGGATACAGCAAGTGCATTTGAGGATTAAAAAAAAATAATATATATATATCTTACGGTGCAGCAAGGTAGAATCTGCCTCTCCAACGCAGAAATTTATTCATAACAAGCAAATGATTTTTTTTTACAAATAATTATTCACCACTGAAGGCTTACGATCAATTCTGGTTTGGATTCTATTTGAAGTATAGTTCGGATACGAAAAGTTCATATTTACGGTACAATTAAAAAAAAATCTTCCAGTACTACAAGATAGAATCCACCTTTCCAATGCAGACATTTATTCGTAACGCGCCTTTTTTTTTTCAATAAAAATTTGTTATCACAGGCTCATAATCAATTCTGGTTTGGATTCCATTTCTAGCCTAGTTTGACTTAGGCAAGTTTACGTGCAGACAGAAAAATGTCTTTCAACACTTGCACATTGCAGGTCACAAAAAAATTGCCTTCCTCGTTTACGTAAACAAGTAAAGCATTCATCACTCGTGACAACCAATCTGGCAACACCTCCCTCTCTCTCTCCGTTTCTCTGTACACGAGGAAAACGAGGGAGGAAAAAAATAGGACTGGCAAAACTTTTCGGTTCCCCCCTCCGTGGATTTCACCGAAAAGCCATGCACTTGCAGTGTTGCAGGAACTAGAACCCGACAGATGTACAGGGAGAGAGAGAGAGAGAGAAAGAGAAAAGGGAGGAAAATGCTGATTGAGGAGAACAGGCTCGGGGAGATCCTCTCTGGTGTGATAGGGGGGGGGGAGGAAAGATCCCTTCGTATTTCTCTCTCTCTCTTTCTAGCTTTCTAGAGAGGGGGGATATACTCTGAGAGAGAAAAGCACAGCGTGTGTTCTCGGTAAGCCCCCTGATTCACATTCCGTGACTATGCGGGGCTGAGTCATCGACCCCGGGAATAAACATGCCGGGGGTTTTGCTCGGGAGCCGTGACTGGGACATATCTGACAAGTGGTTGCTCTAGATCCTCGAGTTTCCCCGTTTTCGCCTTGACAGCCACTTTTCGTCTGCCGGGATCACGGAATAATGCGATTCATAATACCCCCCAATTTCCGTCAGTCTCTGTTGGAAGCCCCGTGAATTTAATTTGAAAACATCGGCTTGACATTGACCTCTCTTTTAAAAGTTTCTATGGTACGAGGAAAATCGAATAAAAAGTGTGAGTGCGTCGTTAAATCGTCCCACCAACGTTCGTCGGGGTTTTTATCACTTTCGGATCCCTGTTTTTTTAATGAAGTATTGGGACAACATCCGATTCACGTAAAATTAAGCAAAACTAAGCTGCGAAAATTAGACAATCGTTAAAAAAAAAACAAGAATCACAACCAATTAAACGTCTTTTCATTTTATCAAGGAATTGAAGAACACTATCCGCTTTCCTTATTTTGTTCGAAATTGAATTTAAAAACGACTGAAAATCAAAATTGTGCAAATGTTGACGCGCAGATTTCAAAGGGTTATTTCAACTAAAGAGTGTACAGTTGAATAAAAATATCTTCAAGTTTGCAATTTCTTTGAGTCTTCGTTCATTGAATTGAGCAGCAAGCTTTGTTTTCCTTTTTTAGCATTCAAACAATTTTCCCACACACCGTTCACATCATATTTTCCCATTTGACAATTTTATTTAAATACGGGGGAGTTGGAATGAATTTCCATGACTAACACCTGAGTCAACATATATTGAAATTAACTTTCAGTCGAAGATGATAAATCCTGATTTTTACAATTTTAGCTTGCACATTTTTTAAACGTTGTATATTTTTCTGGCCAAAATACTCTCCGTTCCACCCTCAAAACATTCAGCTTCTCAAAACGGTTACCTGTTCACCTCTTTTTCCGAATTTGATCCCAAAGAAGAAAAGAGAATTAGGAAGACACAAACCTGGTTGACTTCGAAGTTGGTGAGACAAACAAGGTCCCGGGATCCCTTGGCCGAGCCCTTGCCCTTGGGGCAGAAGTAGAGCCCGCTGGCCCGCAACACGAACCAGTGCTTCTTCCACGCCCGTTTGCCCTCGGCCTTGAGGTAGAGCGGGCCTTCGAAGTCGACGAAGTGCAGAGTGTTGGCCGAGTCTCGGGCCCACATCATCAGGTTCTCCACGAGACTCTCGTGGTCTTCGAAAGGACGTTCTGCACGCACGGGACAACAAGAACAACAAAACATTATAGGGGAAAAGTTGAATTTATCCGCAGGCGGACATTGAAGGACACGCCTGAAGGCATTTGGAAAACAACTACGCCTCAAAAGAAGATTGATCAGGTTGAAGATAATACGAGAAAAAAATTCACAATTCATAATTTATTGGATTATTTTAAATAAATAATGTAAAATACAGTACTGAAATTAAAAATTCAACAAGATACTCTTATTTTTAAAAAAATTATTAAAAAAAAGCAAGCAGGCTGCGTCGTTTATTTGGATGGCATTCGATATTCGCTAGATTGCTTCTGTGCAACACAATCTTTTTTAAAGTGAAAACTCGAATAAACGAAATCCGAGACATTTAATTTCAGTTCACGGGGATGAAAATTGCCATCATGGTTTCTGCGACAAGTTTAAGAGAGATCGAGCAGGTAACTGAAGCCCAAAAAATAAAATAAAAATAAAATAAAATAAAGATAGATTCCAATCATAATGAAAGAAAAAAAATTTGAGGCGTAGGTTTATTTGTTGGGTTTCATTCCACTGACCCATCATGAGGTGAGGGAGTCGCTCCACAAGCGCCATTTTGGGCTCCATGCGAGTGTGGCACTTGTCAGCCAAAAGCCGAGACACCTGAGCACAACTCATTCGCTCGTCCACCCAGAGTGACTTGGTCACATCCCCAGAGCTGCCGCAAAACACCTTGACGTACAGCTTCACCACATTCGCCTCCTTGATCTTCTCCAGGGCCTGTCGAATCTTCTCTTCCTTCAGCCGATCCGCCTCTTCTTGCTGAGACTGGGGAACCAGAATTTTGAAGGAAGCAAGACGTTTATGAACATAGAACATGGTACAACATAAATGACCCTCCGAAAAAAAAAATTTTTTTTTTTTACTAGTATCTGCTCGCTATTATTGTCAACCCACGATTCTGCGCAGCCCTCGCTTGAGAACCATGAATTTTTTCTCTGACAAAGCTTCCTTTGGTATTTTCCAAGAAAAATCCTGATTTAGTGCCACAAAATGGGACTAAATCAGGATGATGATGATCGAGGGCGGAGTGTAAAGCCTCCTACGTTATGTTCTCTTGAAGGCTATTACCGTATTATCTACGCGTTAAAACTTGACAATGAAAAACAGGTGCGGCCTAGATTCAGAATATTTGCGGGTACACAAAAATCCCTAGCACATAAGATATAAATGGAAAAATAAAACTAGACAGAACGTCAGTAGATTTTGTACTGATGCTTGCGACTTTTATCTTCGACAATTGTATTCCATTCTTGTTTGCATATTTTGTCGAGTGAAGACTGCTGTCAACCTACAAGAAGTTTCAACATTTTTGTTGCATCTACGCCTCGAAGGTTTTTATTTTTCTTCTTTATAAATTACGCGCATTAATCTCGGACAGTGAACCACTAATTTTGAAATGTTCCTCAAAATGGTAACACTTGAAACACCCGCCGAAGAACTTGATTCAACGGATCGGAGGCAACAACAAAAATTATAAATTTCCCAAGATCAATTAGACTGTTGCATCCATTTCCAAAATTCGACTATATTTTCAAACACGAAACACTGCAACAACAAGCAGCAGACGAACGTAAAACTTAAAACTATTTTTTGAAGTTTTAATGAACCACACAAGCGGAAGTATGGCCATCATGTGCTCGTTTTTAAAAGAAGAAAATAACGCAAAGAAAAACTTGAGCACATTTTTAAAAATCATTTAAATAACCGTAATAGGATGTTAGTTTTGTCTCGAAAATTATCTTCTGCGGTAGTAAAACTGTTACAGAGTCTACGAGATGACCCTTTGAACAAGTGCATATTATTGCACCCCTTTCAAAAATTGGCAGGCATTGTGGATTTAATACTGAACTGAATAACACAAGAGCACAATCCTAAGTCAGACATCATGATAATAATACATGATACTGGTGAACTAATGCTCTCTCTCTCTAAAAAAAATAATTGACAGACTAGAAATGTTCATCATCATGCAGAGAAAATCGTTTCACAGGAACTAAAGTACATATGATTCGTTTTTGGAAACTACCGATACAGTTGAGATAGTCGTTGATAAAAGTCACCCTGCAGTCGCTTGAAAAACAACAGAGCCTTTCAAGACATTTAAAAAAAATGGGAGAAAAAAGTGCGTCGAATTGAGAAAACAACAGGGAACATGAAAGAACACTCACGAAGCTCCTGAGAGAGTCTGGGTAACCCGGGGAATTGGGCTTCTGGTTCGCCCTGTTTCCGCCACTGCCACCGGAAGACGCAGAGCTCTCGCTGGACAGCATTGACAGACTGTCGCTGAAGGCCGAATCCGCATCCGGACTCTCCGTCCTTCCGCCTGCAAAAANAGAGTTGCCACTGTCCCGGTTCATCCCAGATGAGGTCGAGGATTGGGACGAGGTCGACAAGTCGAGTCCGTGCGGTCGAAACGCGGGCCTCACGCCATTCGAACCCATGAGTCCCGACGACGAGTTCGTCGTCGTCGTCGTCAGCGCCTGGGTTGCCGGGTTCCCGCTCGGCGGACCAGGTTTTTCTGCGTCGACAAGCAAACAAACAAGACTTCGTTCTCACGCGGTTCATCCATCCCATTCGTTTCCGACGAGGGGGGAACAGAACAGAACAGGGATAAAAATAAAAGACCGAGATAAACCTAAAAACGAGGGCCTCCCTAAAATTTCTGGAGCATTTCATTCAAATTTTGCCTCGTAAGTTATAACTTTTGGAGACAAATGGAAATGAAATGTTCGTTTGATCTTGATTGCGGTAATTTCCTTCAGAAAAATATTCACGAAAATAAGCTTTGGAATACAGTATAAATATATGTTATCTCTCTCTCTCGCTCGTGCGATTTTCGGGGTTCTCTAGAAGGAAATTCTGTCGATAACGAATTTATTCGGGTCTCTTGAATTTTGTGGTGGACGACATTGAAGTAGTTATTTTTCATCTCGGCTATTTAAAACCGTTTTTATTTCATTCCAGTATCTTGGTGTATTTTGACCAATTCCAGAGCATTTCTTTTTTTTACCGATACAGTACCTAGAAATACTTCTCAACTATTTTGTAGATTTAATCTTCGCAGGTTATACACGTTTCAAATAACGCTATACTGTACTGTACACTCTTTAAAACGATTTTCTTTGAATAACGAATTTGTTCGGTCTCATGGGGCTTGTTATATGGCCTTGTTATAGGGTTTTCTACGAGAAAATTCTCTCTACAACGGTTTTTTTAAGATCTCTTGAATTTTGTCGTAGAGATAGTCCAGCTGTCTGATATGCCAAAATTACATCTACAAAAAGGATAAGATTTACTTCGAACCATCTGTGAGAAGAAGAAAAAAAAATATATATATATGTATACTCAAAATACACCAAGATACACAAATGAAATTAAAAGTTAAAACCTATCCCGACAGAACCCGACAAACAAGGGGCTTTTTCCTCTGGATTTGACATCTTCGGTCAACAGATTGGAAGAGCACGTCAGAGGAAACTTGCAAACATTTCTAGCGCGGTTTTCTTCTCCAACTTTTTTGCAGTAATTTTGTTTTTCTCAACTTCACTTTTTTTTTGGTTTCCCGACGATGGAAGGATACTTTGTGGAAACCCCGAACCCGGCGTGTCTATTCTATTCACCCGACCCCAAACGCTGTCGTAAGGGGATTCGACTTGCCAGGATCATCAGGTTACACGACCTGTCGCCTTCGTGACTGACACGCGGCT